TATACAAAGAATCCTCAACAAGATTATCAGCAGTTTTTTTCATCAGAAACCTTGGAGGCCAGAAAACAGTGGTTGAATTACTCAAATTGATGAAAGAAAACAAACAAACAAACTGTCAGACTTCTGCATCTTGCAAAACTGTTTTTTGAAAATGAAGAAGAAATTAAGACATTTCCTGATAAAAGCTGAGGGAGTTCATTACTGATAGAGATAGACATGCCTTGTAAGAAATGTTAAAGGGACTTCTTCAGTATGAAAGGATGCTAGACAGTAACTCAAAGCTGTAAGAAGAAATCAAGATCTCCAGTAAAGGTAAATACATGGGCAATTATAAAACCTATTGTTATTTTGGTTTATAAGTCCACTTTTTATTTCATATATGATTTAAAAGGCAAATGCATTAAAAACTAATCTATATTATTGGGCACACAATGTATAAAAACGTAATCTGTGACATCAATAACAGAAGGGGGAGGTGGAGCCGTATAGGGGCAGAGTTTGTGTATATTATTCAAGTTAAGTTGGCACATATTCAAATTAGGTTGTTATAACTTTAGGATGTAAAAGCAATCCCCACAAAGAAAATATCTATAGAATATACACAAAAGGAAATGAGAAAGTAAAAACATGTCACTATAACATGTTTAATCAAATAAACACAAAAGGCAGTAGCAATGGAGGAAATGACAAAAAGCTATCAGGCACATAGAAAACGAACAAAATGGAAGAAGTAAGTGCCCCCTTATCAGTAACTGCTAATGTAAATGTATTAAACTCGCCAATGAAAAGACAGAGATATACTCTGGTAGAGTAGGTAGTTCCAGGCCCTTGTTCTCCCCATGGAAATGTTAAAAACAAGAACAAGTAGAGAGACTAAAATGACTTTGTAGGACCTCTGGAAGCCAGTCAAAGAACTACAGCAACCAGGTGAATGCCCAGTCAAGAAAAAGTCACATCAAAATGGTAGGAAATTTTGTGGCATTTTTACTTGCATTTGCACCAGCCCTTCCTGGTGCAGCGCTGTGTGGTGGGGAGGAAGTGGCCCAATTCCCGGTTTCCTCCCCCGCCCCTTGTACATATAAAGTAAAAAAAGAACCAAGCAAATTCTGGAGCTGAAAAATACAACTAAATTGAAAAGTTCAATAAAGGGGTTCAACAGCACATTTGAACAAGCAAAAGAATCAGTGAACTTAAAGGTCATTTGAAATCATCGAATCAGAGGAGCAAAAAGAAAAAGTGAAGAAAAGTGAAGAGAACCTAAGGGATTATGGGATACGATTAAGCAGACAAACATATGCATTATTGGAGTCCCAGAAGGAGAAAGGGGTAGAGAGCTTATTTGAAGAAATAATGGACAAAATTTTTCCAGTTTCAGGAAAGAACTGGATATGCAAATTTAAGAAACTCGAATTCCTACTAAGATAAATTCAGAGACCCACAGCAAACAGAAAAACTGAAAGGCAAAATAGAGAGCTCTACAATAATAGTAGACTTCAAAACCCCACTCTTAGTAGGTCAGAATGAGACAGAACAGTAAGAAAAAGGGGATTTGAATAACAGACCAATTAGATCTAACAGACATACACAGAACACCCTACCCAACAATAGCATAACACACACCCTCTTCAAGTGCACATGCAACATTCTCCAGAATACACAAAATGTTAGGCCATAAAACAAGTCTCAATAAATTTTAAAAGACTGAAACCATACAAAGTATTTTTTCTTACTATATAATGGAATGAAATTAGAAATCAATAATGAAAGAAAAAATCATAAATATGTGGAAATTAATACATCACAAGAGAAATTAGAAAATATCTTGAGATAAATGTTAGTGAAATTACAGCATATCAAAACTGAAGTGTTAAAGAAGAAAATTTATAGTTGTAAATGCTTACATTAAAAAAGAAGAATGGACGCCAGAGGGCCCTGGTTCGGATCCCAGATATGAGGGCCAGTGACACTGCCCTCTACAGCTAAGATGCTGAACAAGAGCTCAGCCTGGAGCTGGGCTGCTGTGAGTAGCTGGCGACAGTGTAGGCTGCAGCCCCTGTGGCAGTGGGTTGCCATGGGCTACCGTGTGTAGCAGCAGCCAGCGTGAGCGGCCAGCAGCCGCGGTGAGTGGCTGTCCAGAAGCCGGCGACTGATCTACGTCGCCCGGGAAGAGCGCAATGATGGTGCCAACTTGGGCCAGTGAAGCAACGTCCTCCACAACTAGACTGAAGAACAAAACGACAGCAACTTGTCTGTTTCCCTTCCCTCAACTCCCCAGCACTGTTCCCATCCCCACAATTCCCCAATAAAAATCTTTAAAATAAAAAAGAAAAATGGTCTCAAATCAACCACCTACTTTACACCTTACGGAACTAGAAAAAGAAGAAAAAACTAAACCCAAAGCTAGTGGAAGGAAATAATAAACATTACAGCACAGATAAATAAAATAGAGAATAGAAAACAGAGAAATCATTGAGGCCAAGATTTGTTTCTTCAAGAAAAATCAACATAATGACAAACCTTTAGCTAAATGAGTAAGAAAAATAAGGATTATTAGAGTAATAGTTGACCCTTGAACAATGCAGGGGTTGGGGTGCTAACAACCCCTGTGCAGTTAGAAATCTGTGTATAACTTTTGACCCCCCCCAAAACACTTAACTACTGATAGCTTACTTTTGACCTTATCAATAATATAAACAGTCAACACATTTTGTATGTTGCATTATACACGATACTTACAAAACAATAAGCTAAAGAAAATGTTAAGAAAATCATGAGGGAAATTCACTTACTGTATTTATTGCATTTACTGTATTGATATGCTGTAAATACTGTACTGTATTTATTGATACACTAAGTTTACATCATCTGTTTATAAGATTAATTGCCTATCAGTAACTGCATCAATGTTGCCTTATATAAAACACTATAGATGTTATGGGTATTATAGACATTAGACATCAAAAATGAAAGGAATTTGAAAAATTCATAATTACTTTCAGGTTTTACAATTCCTCCATTGATAACAAAGTAGCAGCAACATGATTGCTTTATGGCAGCCTACTGTAATTGATGTAATTGCTTCATAGTACTAAGGAAATCTCAATTTTTCTAATACATCTGTTAAATAAAATCCATGGTTTTTGTTTAATAAGTGGACTGTGCAGTTGTTCAAGGGTCAACTGTACTATGAATAACTGTATGTCAACAAAATGGAAAATCTAGATGAAATGGACAAGTTTCTAGAAACACACAGCTTACCAAGACTGAATCATGAAGAAATAGAAAATTTGAATAGAGCTATAACTAGTAAGGAGATTGAATCAGGAATTAAAAACCTCCCAACAAAGTAAAGCCCAGACTTTAACTGGTGAATTCTACCAATCATTTAAAGATTTAATACCAGTTGTTCTCAAACTCTTCCGAAAACTTGAAGAGGAGGAAATGCTTCCTAACTCATTCTATGAGGCCAGAGACACTACAAGAAAACTACAAGTTAATATCCCTCATGAATATTGATGCAAAATCTCCAACAAAATACTAGCAAATTGAATCCAACAACAGAGTAAAAGGATTATAGATCATGACAAAGTAGGATTTATTCCTGGAATGCAAGGATCAACACACAAAAATCAATGTAATATATATATATAACAGAATTGGGAAAATCACATGATCATCTCAATTGATGCAGCAAAATCATTTGACAAAATTCAACACCTTTTCATAATGAAAACTGAATAAACTAGGAACAGTAGGAAACTACGTCAACATAAAAACCATATATGAAAAATCTCACAGCTAACATCATATTCAGTGGTGAAAGACTGAAAACTTTTCTTCTAAGGAACAGACAAGGATGCCCACTCTCATGACTTCTATTGAACACAGTACTGAAGTCCTAACCAGAGCAATCAGGCAAGAAAAAAATGAAAGGCACTCAAATTGGAAAGGAAGAAATAAAATGATGTTTGTAGACCACATGATCTTATATGTAGAAACCCTAAACACTACACACACTGTTACAACTAATCAATGAAGTCAGCAAAGTTGAAGGATACAAAATCAACAAACCAAAATCGTTGTTTCTATACACTAACAATGAACAATCCAAAGAGAAAATTTAAAAAAAAATTCCATTTAAAATAGCATTGAAAAGAGTACAATTCTTATGAATACACTTACATGCTGAAAACTACAGAACATTGTTGAAATGAAATGAAGATGCAGATATTACTTAGTAATGTCTTTTCTGAGTACCATAGCCCAGTCAAGTTCTCAAATAACATTAATTATCACACCACGTGTCCATCAAATGAATGGTAAAACAAAATGTGGTATATTCCTACAATGGAGTATTCTTCAGTCATAAAAAGGAATAAAATTTCAATATATGCTCTAACATGGATGGACCTTGAAAATAATATGTGAAAGGAAGTAAGTCAGACACAGAAGAACAAATATTGTATGATTCCATCTGTATGAAGTACCTATATGAAGAATGGGTAAATTCATAGAGACAGAACGTAGAACAGAGATTTCCAGGGGCTGGGGGGAGGGAGGATAGGAGTTATTGGTTAATGGGCAGTTTCAGTTTAGGAAGATAAAAGGGTTCTGGGTATAGATAATGGTGAGGTTACACAACACTGAAATGTATTTGATGCCCCTGAATTGTACATTAACCACTGGTTAAAGTGATAAATACTATATCATATATTTTTCCATGATAAAAAAATATTAAAAAGAAAAAAACCAAACCAACACATATGAGCAGTGTGTGAAGTCAACAGATTGGCAACGTTTTCAATCCCACAGGTTTTTGCTTCGTAGAGCACTTATGGCTGACTGCCACGTTTTCATTAGTTTCTTCCACAACTCTATCCTTGTTTGTCCTTTTTCCTTAGAAGGCCCTTGCAGTATCTCTGACCACTGACTTCCTTTTTTGTAGGACTGTCACTTGGAAATTGGAATATCACTTCCACACCAAAATAACAGATGCCAAAACATGTAAAGTTGTGAGTTTATTGCATATGTAACAAAATGAACCTGACCTCCCGGGTCCAGCCTGCTGTACAATCACTGTTTGTTTTGTGTTTCCAGCTGGTTCCATAACCACATTAAATAGAACTAGTATTTCTTTAAATACTTTTGATTTTGACATAAAACAGAACATTAGTGTACAACTTTCACAAAATAAATCAGCAATAAAAACAGTGGGAAGAATAACAAGGATAGCAGCAATACTTAAAAACAAGACATTACAAAATAAATTAAAAAATACATTATAAAGTGGTTGAGAAACAAAAATAAACAAATTTTAAAAATTCATACTATGTTTCGGGAAGGCTGCCGCGCATGTGGCACACCCCGGCTGCAGAGGCCCATCCTGACAGCTGATGTGCGGACCGCCTGACCTGCACATGGAGCGTTAGGCCCAGCAGGTTCAGGGGCCCCAGTTCCAGCCCGCGGGCGGGTCACGAGCAAGTCACTCTCCCCCATGCCGCCCCTGCACGTTTCCTCCCCAAAGCGCTGGCAGAGCGGTGGTTCGCTACATCCCTGAGGGTCGGCTGCTGACCGCTGGCGAGGGCAAGCCTGGAAGCCGTGCCCCTGAGGCATCTGGGCAGAGAGGCGAGGGGACGGACGGGGTGGGTGTCTGGGATTACCGAGGGGGTGACCAGTGGGAGTGCACGTGTGGACGGGGTTCCTGCAGATCGGGAGCTACACTGTTCTCTGTGGTGGATCAAAGGCCCAAATCACTGTCGATGTTTAAGCTTCTAGAAGTGCAGTGCCGCTGACGCGCAGGCCTGCTTGGCAAGAGTAAACCAAAGCTCTGGAAAGCTCTGCTCTTTCAGGTGCCTTGGTGACACGCACAGCTGATAGGCGTGCCCCATGCGGAGACCCAGGACATGCGACGGGGTAACCCATGTGTCCTGAGCAGCTGCTGGAGGAGTCAGGACACGACCCTCTGGATCTCTCTGAGGTGACACGTGACGTGAGAGCAGCATGGGCTGCGTGTTCTGAGGCTCGTCCCCGCTCTTAACAGCAGGAAAGAGTCAAATGCGAAGTTCCTGCTTCCAAGTCTTTCCAGCCACTCGACCCTCGTTTCCTTCCTCGTTACTACAGGGTTTGGCCACCACCCCAGAAAGATAGGGTGGGTCTTCCTCCTTTCAGATCTCGGATGGATGGATGTCTCCTCCTCCCATGGATTAGGTTCATGTGAGAGATAAGACCTGTCCAGTAGGAGCTCGGTATTTTCATTTTCTCACTTCCAGAGAAAGATCACGAGGGAGGACTGGATGGAATCACCCGGGAGCCAGCTTCTAGAATGCCCTCGATAAGTATGGCAGATGAGACATAGGAGAAGCCCAACTGGGGCAAAGCAGAGCTCAGAAAAGAGCCAGCCCACCGTTTCACCCGGACTTAATGAATGGACTGTTTTCCTTCTGCAGCAGATCACACTTGACACCCCTTCTGTCTAGAACCCCAGTCAGTACAGAAGCTCAGCTCTCTCACCGCTGGCGACCCGTGGCCCCCACACTGGGCAAACCTCAGCGCAGGGGTGGGTCTATCTTCTAAGAGGGCCCAGTGCTGCCCTCGTCAAACTCCAGACTGCTCCTGGGAAGCCAAGGAACAACAGCAAGCGCCAAAGGGGGAGTGCGCGCCCTACCGCCAGTCTACCGGTGTTAGTAACGGAAAAACAGCGAATCGTAGTCCAAAGCTCCTTCCAAACCCATCTCAGACCCACAGCTGGATCCCAATGCTTAACTCAGAAGCTTCAACCGTGAAATTTCAACAGTGAGATGTCTTGCTAAGGAATTACCCTGCACTTGCCCCCAAAACTAAAACAACAAAAAACCAGACAGGAGAACTTGCTGCTGCTGCCATTGTCCACTGAAGTTGAGCTATCCGAAATCAAGCGGCTTAGTTAAAACACTGTGAACTTCTGTGCAAATCGGAAAATGGTGTTAGAAACTTAGGGTCGAGGCTTGCTTTGGCCTTACTCATCATACGAAGACATCTGGGCAGGTAAATCGAGTGGCAATTGTCCCTGTCACCATCTGACACTGGGGAAATGGGCTAAATGAGTCAGAGTGGACGCGTCCCCCTCTGCTGTCAGATTTACATCCACGTCCTCCTTTATGTAAAAGTAACATGGCGCGGATTCCGGTCATTGGGGTTATGCATCCCTTCTCCCTTTTAAGCTAGTTTGCACCACTCCAGCAACTAGAGTAGCAGAATTTTGTTAAGTTAGTTTAGCTCTTAGCCATTTCTGCACAATAGATTGTTAGTATTCAGATGGCCCCGTTTCCACGCATCTGCGTACAGGTGGTGGCAGGAGCCACAGCTTGGGAGACAAGGCTGGTTTTGGTCTGTTCTTTCATAAGCTTCGTATGTGGTGTTTTCACTGGAAAAATATTTCGAACTGGATAGATAATGCGGCAAAAGGGACTCTTTAAAGGAAAGATCATTTTTCTCTACGCAAAACAAAGTTTTCAACCAGGATACCCTGAAAAGACCTACCCTGGGCCTCCAGTTAACGCTGCCCCCAATGCCCTTAACTTTCAAAAAGGGAAGCACATTTTGGACTCAAGCTTCCTCCTGTGGCAGAATTCCAACAAGCATATATTATACAGTTACTTTTCAGGTAGAAATTAATCTGCTACCCAGAGCAGGCTGCTAGGATGTGAAATTTGGAATTTGACTGTTTTGAGGCAGAAAAGCTAGTATAGCTACCAGGTACAAACCCTCAGTAAGCCAAGCTTGGTTCCATAACTGCAGGTCGATACTCCTATAAGGACCACAGGGCTGTGAGCCTGTCACCATGTTACAACCGTAGAATATCCTGTGTGACCGAAGCCAAATCTAAACCTGGCTGTGTTTTATTGGGTGGGTGATGGAAGGGGGTGGGAGTACTGTCATAAAGGAGGAAAATATGGGTGGGAGCCACCAACCAAAGTCCCCCCGCCCCCCTCGGTCCCCCAACGAAAAGGAGGGGAGACAACCCTTTCCCTCAGGTTATCGAGAATTCCAGTGCCTCAGCCCGCTTCGCAGGAGGCGCGCAGAAAGCGATATGCTTTTGGTCTGGCGGTTGTGAGCTAGAATCTGTTGCCTTTGGTTGCTCTTCACTCCACAGCAAACCCACAGGTCTCTTCCACTGCTGTGAGCAGCTTCTCGTAGAGCTTCTCATAAGACTCATAAGGTGGAATGTCAATCCTGTTAAAGCTGGAATGGGACAAAAGAGTGACAGTCACTGTTGGGGGCAATCTGGCCCTAGGAGCTGCTTCAGGGCCAAGGACAGGCAGGAGCAAAGCATTCGTGGGGGTCACGGGGCAATGGGAAGGCGGAAGACTCTGTCACCAGTTCTGGGGGGTGGGGGTGGAGGGACAGGTGAGTTATCCACACCCTCCTTGAGCTTTTCTGCTTCTAATGCCAAGAGTTCTCAATCAACACACAGCAAAAAGATCTTTAAAACTACTATCTACTGTTGATATTAGGACCAAGCTCTTAAGTTGGTTTTTTTTTCCCCCTCTGGGAGAAATTACACAGTACCAGGAATACCATCTTTGCAGACTAGCATAACCCAGACTGGCCGGCAGTCAAATGACCACTAACAATGTACTGCATGTCTATTCCTCTGTGACTTGATCTGAGACCAAAATGGGGCCGCTTGGAAAATCCCCTACAAAACCAGAAACTATATCTCAAAACTAATAAAATGTCAAATCCCTGATGAAATGAATCTTAAATTTCTGACCCAGTATTTCCATGGGGAAATTCGTTTCCAGGAACTGTGCAAGGAAAAAGACACCCTCTAAGAAGCTATTATCTCAACAAATCAGAAAATACAAAATTGTGACCCAGAGGACACAGCATGGCCTATTGAATTACTAGGGATTAGGCAACCAAGGATGGCTTTTGTCAATAATGAGTCGGGCCAAATGGTGGTGCAGTCTTTCTTTGGGAGCTTTAGCATTGGGGGAGATTTTTCATATCCGTTTTAGTCTAAGCACTAAACTAAGAAAGGACAAAGCCTGAGGAGGAGGGCAGCCACCGTGCGTGCACACGGCACCGTTCCTGCAGCACCATGCTGGGGGCAGGGCTCTCAACCCCACGCAGTCCTGGGAACAGCTTTCACAGCTTTTTGACACATGTGCAAACCCCAGTCAGCCTATCAAGCAACTGCCCAAAGTCACATATCAGAGGGCATCAGGGTCAGCATCTGAACCCACATCTTCGGCTTAGGGTACATCATGATGCATCTCAGCAACGTATGGGACTGGTTCTCCTGAACTAGAGGAAATGGTTCTGAGACAAAGTGTACGTAAGTGATTTGATTTTCAAACCACAAAGGAAATAAACCACTACAGATATTAAGTTGAAATTTAGGGAGGATGTATTTTTGAATAGGCGAGGTGCATCTGTCATGCGCAGAACTCTGAGAGGGACAGTGGGGCTCCAGGAAGGTCAGATAAAGTGACCAGTAACTCCAACTTAAAAACTACAACTTGCCCCTGCTGATAGGTACATGTATGTGCACACGTGCAGCGAGGCCCAGGAAGTGCAGACGAACCCGTGCGAGTGGCAGCTGTCAATCACATCCCACAAAACCAGTTTCATGGAAGAGACTTCTGATAATAACCCTTACACGTGACACGCTGCCCAGTGCTTGTCCCATTTGACACTGGTGCCATTGCCAAATGAAACAGCTTAGACAGTCACGTGGGAGCGCGCACACTGCAGAGGTGCCCAGGGGCCGGCACCTGGGCAGCCCTGTCCTTACCAGGTGTGGGCCTTTGGCAGGTTGTCTGTGTTGGCGTCGATCAGGTGAATGGTGAACAGCCGGGGCCCTGCCGCGCCTGTAGAACCTTACAAGACAACATTCTAGTTAATGCACTTCAGAGGCTGGGCAGGGGCTCCACTGCCGACCACACGCCCAGGCAGGCTGTCCTGCCAGAACGTCATGGAGTTCCCGTGGCAACAGGAGTCTCTGCCTGGCCATCAAGGGGCTAATCAGACATTCAGAAGGTCCCTGGTGTGGAGAAGCGTCCCAGCACTCTCTTATGCACCTGGGCATGAACTTGCTCCAGTGGGGGTGTTTGAAGGTAAAATCCTTACATCACCAGGGGTTTCCTTTTAACAGAAATATTTAGCAAGCAGACCCACGGCTGGCAGAGGACGGCAGTGGTAAAAAGAAAAGCAGAATATGGAGTCATGAAATGACTCCAGGCAGAGGTGTGATGGAAAAAGAAAAAGACACAAACACCTAGGACCAAAGCCCAAGGAAATGGAAGTAACTTCTCTCACTCAAAGAGGTCCTTAAAATAAGAAAACGTCTACAGAGAATGTTCTATACCCGAAATATCTCTGTTCTCAGTATTAACACACAAAGTTCAATTTACTAAATTTCAATATATTAATATTCTTCACCTTACTCCTCCTGGCTATCAGGGTTATCAAGTGACAAAAATGGGAAATTTTACAAGTTACAGGGCCAGGGAGAAGCCTGCAAGGACATTCCCCGCTGAATGCCTGTGAGCCTCTCTGATCTCCTCATGAGGCACAACATCTTCAGCATCTATAGCCTTCCAACTGCTCCAGACCTGGGTGAGCCAGGGACCCAGTCAGAGCTGGAAGGCATGAGAGCGCATGGGGGTGCCTAACTGGACAGGGCAGCCTGTCAGGCAGCTCCTTGTACAGATAAGGAAACTGAAGGCCAGGGAGGAGCCACATGATCATTAGCTAATAGACTGGGTCTCTTGATTCAGGAGGGAGGGGGCTGACCTAAATATTTCCAAATGAATCCGTCATACACTTTAAAAACTCTGATTTCTTTCACAAAAGCCTGTTATTTGTAGCCGCCTTTGTCAACCAGTTCTATAGAAGGGGACACATGGGGCTCCATTGCGCCCTTCCTGGGTCATTCCAAACTCAGCTCTGAGTGGACACCGGGCTGGCCAGCACCCCCACTGCTGCTGCAGTGCTGTCCACCTGCTGGCTCTGGCCCGCAGAGACTAGGAAAGGTCAGTGGGAGAGGACGCTGGGCTTTATTCTGCTGACATCCTCTCCTGTGTATTTACAGACACTTTCTTTCAAGTTGGGCAAAGAATAGCAGAGCCTTAAGGACTGGGAGCTGGCAGAGATAATGGCGACCAAGAGACCATCACCTTTTATGGGGGAAGAGGGTCTCTATGGCCAGTGGGAGTGACAGCCCTCTCCGTCGCGTGAGCCCCACGCAGTTATGAAAGCACATGTCACATTGTTTTCTAGGCGTTTCAGGAAGATACCCCAGCACATTCCCGTGCTTCCTGCCCAGGCCTAGTGGAGAAGATGCCGAGTGTAGACGCCCAGTGCCAATGGCCCCGCCCCCACGTCAGTCACCTTGCAGGGCCTTGAAGCCTTGGAGTGGGACTCGGGTGGATCCCGTCACGAACTGCAGGAGCCTGGCCCTCCTCTCCTCGTCGAAGGTCTCCACCGCCTGCCAAAACCACCGGACGACGTTGCTGTCGGCCGCGCAGTGCTTCAGCCGGGTATTGGCCTTCCAGTCGTTCAGGTCTATCTTATCCAGGCCGCCTACGATCAGCTGTGAAGGGTTCAGAGGCAGTTACTTCTCAGATGGATAAATGTGTCACGACATGTCTCCCAGGTCTCCAGCACATGAAAGGAGTTAAAAACGTGGTCCCAGAGCAAAGCAGCAGCGATGTCCAAATAAACTAGACACACATTTAGACAAGAAGGAAGACAAGCAACACGCCTGAAGCACACGCCTGTCTTTCTGCCCCCTTGGGCTGGTTTCCAACCCCTAGGACCGCGGTGCATGGCCACTGACGGGTCATTTTCTGCCACCAAGTCTGTGTTTGTGTTTTTGCACCACTTTGGTGCGGACGGAAGAACCCCTAGCAAGACTGCATGGAGCTGAGCGTAAAACGGGGCCGTATCACAGGAATTTAAAATCTGAAGAGAAGGGAATGAAGCAGGGGTTACGTGCTGGTTTCTGCAACTTGCTTAAAAAGTTTCCTCTGGAGAGCCACTGTCCCACCCGGGGAGGCTCCTCTTGGCTCACAAGCTCTCGGCGTCTCACTGGTGGTAGAAAGACTGAGACCAATTTTAAAGGCTTGAGCTATCTGGCACCAAACAGATGGATACGAGGTGAATACCTCATTGTGTTCAAGTACATGAAGTGTGATTAGAGAAAACAGTAACACTTTGTTCAGAGTCTAATACGCGCAGAGTTAAAAACAGAAAGTTGGCATTGTGGGAGAAGTTGGCAATATACAAGATAATTTCCTCGATCGAGGTGACTACACAGGAGGGGTCAGGAATCTCCACTGCTAGAGATCCTGAAAAATACAAGAAGCCGCAAACCACTCTGACAAGGGAAGCCCCCAGAATGATCTGGATTCACTGCTGCCAAGTAGACACCTGGCCTTGTCATAAACTGGCTCCCACATCCTCGACCCCCTTCCCGTTCCAGCCCTGACTCTGTGCTGGGAGCCCCGACAGACCCCCAAGCTGCCCAGGAATTAGTTGCAAGCCTCAGGCCCTTTAAGGAAAGCCTGACTCAGCACGCCGAGCACGTACCTCGAGTTCCTTCTGGTCAAAAGGCTTCAATAAGTGTTGAGGAATGAGCTCATTAAACCCTTTCTGAAGAGCTAAGAATTGGGCTTCAATTCCTCTCATAAATCTCCAATTTACATATAACCTGAAAGAAAAATTCACAAGTTGGAAGCAACACCAATAATTCATGAAAAAAAATTTTCTCCATTAGTAGGTTCTGACATCTATCTGCTGAGTCTAACGCCCTGCCTGCCCGGCCTCCCCGAGGGGGGAGGAAAACCCACCAGTTGGTAATGCCTAGCCTAAGGATCAGGTTAAAATAAACCAGCTCGTGCCATTATATATTCTGATTCATTGCTAGAAATAGCAGTAGGGTTTAACCTGACCTGTCCCAGCAACTGCCACAATTTAAAAATGCATTTGAAAATAAAATACAAGACGTGGTGAGAACTAGTCATACCAGTTGGACAGCCTGAGCACACGGAGGTGTCCCTGTTTCTAAATTTCCACTCTAAGTGATTAGTCCTTCATTTGCCATGATTAAGAGGTGGGAAAATAGACTACAATGGAGTCGACTTCCTATAGACTGGGCTCAAGGAAACGTCTAGGTTTCCTGCTCTCTCGTACACTCTGGCAACTTCAAAGACAGAACTGGTGGTCACTTGAAAGGCCTTCCCCCACCAGGGCTCTGGGGTCATTAGTCTCCCTTCACCAGGTCAGGCCTGGCCACATCCGGGCTCCTCCACGCATAGCTTCCCCTGCTGAACCTAATGGTTTCTGGACGTCTCTTCTGGGATGTGCTTCTGGTCACAAGTGGTGGCAGGGACAGGCAAAGCTCACGCAGCAAGGGAGCCTCCACAATCCAAACATGAACCCAGCTGTGCCTGAGTACCTGGGTGTATGTTCCCACCGGCAACTGCCAGGTTCCCCGGGGCATTACCGGACATATTCTTTCTTGTTCTCCTCCGTGACAGGTACATTTCTGCCGTTGGGCTTCAGCTCATGCTGCAGGATCCTCCCGAAAGCGTTGTGCTCCACACAGAAGGTGTGGTCCAGCACAGGGGTAATATCGTTCTCTCTGGCGGAGTCAGGACAGAAGGCAGGTGTCGGTTAAGAGTTTTGCCACCACACAGCAGTGCACGGAATGTTATATGGAACAATCCAGTAGGAAGAGAGAGCAAGCGAGCATTTACTGACTGCCAGACCAGGGAGGAGAGGAGAGCCTCAAGTGGACACAGCTTAAGTGAGGCCAGGAGAGTGGGGTGCTGGACGGAGCCCGGAGGCCATAGCCCCAGTTCCAGATGTGTCCTGGACTCTTGGTTTTCTCATTCATAGGAGGGTGATGGTACCTCTACCATTCTATGATTTTATGAGATACCAGGTTGCTTTGTAAACTGAGTCTGTGAGCAGACAGGAGGGAATCGCGAGGAGGAACTGAGTCAAAGGGTAATCAACCTGCAGGAAGCCACATTAAGAAAATATCGATCCCCCTTTCAAAGGCAGCCTTTTCAAGTGCATCAGTTCAAACAAAGAAGAACTTGAAAGTTAAAACTGGCTCCTTAATATGCGATATTTTTTGAAACACAGTAAAAGGTTTCCTACAGGATGAAGGCTCTAACCCACAGACTGGTCTTTTCAAGTTGGGACATGTGAAACGAGGCTGACCAGCACGTAGGACACAATGAGAGGCCTGACTCCTGTTCAGCTTGTCAGCTTGTCCTTCCTTTGCCAGAGCCTGGATCTGTCGTCCCTGTCAAACTGGCTCCTGCACAAGGACCCACGACACCTACGGTTTACCACTCAACTGTGCCTGCTGCTTTTAAGAGAGTGTTTAGGATAATTCTAAGCCAAGGTGACTAAATAGTAATTTTGTTTTGATATTTTCTTATATCAGAGCATTTGACACAAGATGCTTTGATACTAATTTTGTTTTTGATACTTTCCCCTCTAGAGATTAACTGGTGACACCTTAGAGTATCAAAAATCAACCAACCAAACACCAGGCCTGGGGATTAATATTTGTGATCATACATTAATCATTCAAGGAAATAACAAAAGAAACTAGTTCATGAAAAGAAACTGGCCAAACATCATGAGGAAAATAAGTTAATTGTTTTTTGTTTTTGTTAAATCTACTTTTATATTTCTGGTGACAAACAATAGTTTGTTTATTTCTCTTCTCCAATTTCACACCCATCTCCAAAATATATACACACGCACACACAGAACAAATGTATCTGGCATACACTAAGAATGGTGGCTAAGTATGAATTTTCAATTGACTGAACAGTGATACTTACAGAATCCACACTAAGCTCTTATGTAGTTCTGGGTCCACCGATTCCAAATCAGAGAGCTGGATGGGTTTTCCCAGTAGCTGCTTGTAGAAGGGAACTGTGAAACCCCCGTTTATGTAGTGTCCATGAAACACGGCCAGACCCATGATCCGACCCACAAAATGGAAATAAGACAAATGGTCCTGTAGGGGGCGCCAGAGAACATGACTTCATTAGCAAAACAACAGGGTCAAAGCAAAGGGTAGCTTGTGATTTCCCCGGCTTCTTGAGAGAACTGTCCCACAGGCAACCAGACACTGAATCAGTTAATTACTCACAGGCTGTGCTTGTGACCAAATGAAAGAAGGCTGCTTGGTCAAAATTTTAAGCACGTCTTTTGTATAGATCGTCTGAACATTTTATATGCTGTTAGTTCAAACACCTTTTCCTCAGAATGGCTAGATAATTTGTGAGACCCAGTGCAAAATGAAAATGCAGAACCCATTATTCAAAAATTATTAAGAATTTCAGGGCCGGCTGAGTGGCGCAATGGTCAAGAACTGGCTTGGGACGCCAGAGGGCCCCGGTTCGGATCCCACATATGAGGGCCTGTGATACTGCCCTCTACAGCTAAGATGCTGAACAACAGCTCAACCTGGAGCTGGGCTGCCATGAGTCACCGGCGACGGCGTAGGCTGCAGCCCCTGTGGCAGTGGGTTGCCATGGGCTACTGTGTGTGGCCAGCAGCCAGCGTGAGCGGCCAGCAGCTGCAGTGAGCGGCCGTCCAGAAGCCGGCGACTGATCTGCCTCGCCCGGGAAGAGTGCAATGATGGTGCCAACTTGGGCCAGTGAAGCAACGTCCTCCACAACTAGACTGAAGAACAAGATGACAGCAACTCATCTGTTCCCCTTCCCCCACCAGCACTGTTCCCATCCCAATTCCCCAATAAAAATCTTAAAAAAAAAAGAATTTCAACATGGTGACAGCAGAGAGTCAAACCAAGCACAGGCCCTTCTGAGTGCAGAGCCCTGTGCTCTGCCCAGGTCGCCTGCCCAGGAAGCTGGCCCTGCTGCTCCTCCCCATTGCGCGAAACAGAAATAAGGAGCAAAAGGCAATTCCCTTGCTTCCTCTGCCACCCCTCCCCCAGTCCCACCAGAAAGAGGAAGAGAAGAAATCAAAAGGGGAAAAAAAGGAACACAGAGAGAAATAAATATGAAAATTCAAGTATAAGAACCAACCATTCTAAAACCAGAGCTGTTCTGGTTTTTAACTAAAAAGGGAACTTCACATTTCTACATTTAGGTTGGAATCACAATCAGAGAATTGGTGAAATTTTTGTTTCCATGTTGGTAAAAGGCTCGATTACATATAAATGCTTGCAGAGTCGAGCTGGTCCAGGGGTCACGTGCCCCACGGGAAGTGTCCTCCACACTTGTGCTGCCCAAAATTGGGCCAGGAGCTCACTCTGCACTTATTTCCTCATCTCTAAAACAAGCAGCTAAGAGTGTCCACAGCAGTGGCCAAAAGGCCAATTATGGAAATATTCCAATTTTGACTGGGAGGACGATGGACTTTGTAACCCACTCACTTCTCAGAATGATACTGTCAACAAATACGGTCATAAGAGCAGAGTTCCCTCAAATGCCAATCAAATGCTTTGAGTACCTGAGCAGCTCAATGTCCCCCTTGTTCTCCTTGAAAACAACACACCCAAAGGTCCCAGTCACTAGAAGTAACAGGATTGAAATCATCCATCTTAATCCAGTTCTCACTCTATTTCTTAATGTTCTAGTTACCACAGACCTTGAGTAAGTTGACAGTGAATAAACCAAAAATTGAGATGGAAACTGAAAATCCATTAAAAAAATTCTCCAACTTAAATTCTTTACCTCTTTATTCATTAATACTTACAGGGTTGATTGAAGAATCTGGGTTGATTTGTAACATGTAAATATTGTCTGTAGAATATTGAAAGAGTCCATAATAGGGGTTCAACATTTCATGGCACAATAAATAAAGCCACTCCCTAGAACAAAGCAAGAAGAGAAACATTTTATATGTGCTGAAATACCTAGTTATAGATCTTAACGAAAGCACTGAACTGCTGTGTCCTGGAAGGCCAGACTGGTAAGAGTAACTGGCTGGGAGTGAATGTGATTTAGACAGATTGGGAAAATAAGCCTAAAGAAGTAAAAACTGGCTTCTAGTAGTACCAGAAATGGCTTTTTTGGCCAAAATGCCAACCACAACTTTGATGCTGGGAAAGGACTGTGGTTGATGAGAATCAGCATCACCTTAAAAGTACAGCATTCTCAGCAGCTGGCTTGGCGTGCTTGGCCCAGCTGAGCTTTGCTCTGCTAGTTTGCAAAGATCAAAACCTCAGGCGATGATGCTAATAATGTGGTAGTAACTGACAGAAGTGCAATAAAAAGCAGTATGATCCTACTATTTATTTAAAAAGTGTGTGTGCACACACAGACACAAAACAGAAAATCCATCTGCAGGGCACAGAAGGACTCACACTAACATGCTGACAGTAGTTAACTGAGAGTCACATTCTGGGGCATTTCCATGTTTTTCTTTTGCTTCTTACTAGTTTTTAAGTTTCTAATTGATTGTAACAGGTAATAATGTTTAAATAAGGAGAAGGCGGGCTGGCTGAGTGGCACATTGGTTAAGAGCTGGCTTGGGACGCCAGATCTGAGCAGCAGGACCCCGGTTCGGATCCCACATGGGGGCCAGTGACACAGCCTTCTACAGCTAAGATGGGTGAACAACAGCTCGACCTGGAGCTGGGCTGCTGTGAGTTGCCGGCAACAGTGTAGGCTGCAGCCCCTGCTGCAGTGGGCTGCCATAAGCTACTGTGTGTGGCTGGCAGCCAGTGTGAGCGGCAGGCAGCTGGCGTGAGCTGCCAAAGAGCTGCAGTGAGTGGCCGTCCAGAGGCCGGCGACTGATCTGCCTCATCCAGGAAGAGCGCAATGATAATACCAACATGGGCCAGTGAAGCAACATCTTCCACAACTAGACTGAAGAACAAAAGGACAGCAATGTGTCTGTTCCCCTTCCCCCGACTCCCCAGTGCTGTTCCCCTCCCCCAATTCCCTAATAAAATCTTTAAAAATAAATAAATAAATAAATAAATAAATAAATAAATAAATAAATAAGGAGAAAGGATTTCGCAGTCTGGGGAGGCAGGGGTTGTCTAAGAATGTCTTTTGCCCTTTATAAAGTTTCTGTCCTGGGCCGGCCGAGTGGCGCAATGGTTAAGAACTGGCTTGGGATGCCAGAGGGCCCCAGTTCGGATCCCACATATGAGGGCCAGTGACACTGCCCTCCACAGCTAAGATGATGAACA